CGGATTTTCTACATTCAAAGGAACTACTTCCTCTAACGCCTTTCATAGTCATGTGCGAAATACGGCTGTATAAATGTCTCGCAGCCCCTGGTGTGCGCACTCACAACAATGGCTGAGCGTAATTGTGCGGACATATTTTACCTCCACAAACAGCTGAGACATGGTTAACTGTTCTCCCACTAGGAGCTCAGTCTGAGTGGAGTTTTTTTTCTCCTCCTCTCACCTCATGTTATGTATTTTCGTTGTTTTTTTTTCCTATCAGCCTACCTTACTGACATGTCTCCCCCATGTGATGTTTGTGTAAAGTTGGTCAGAAGGTTCCTTTGTAAGTTCCATTAGTGTGCTGCCTGGTTTTCTGTTGTACTGATTTGAGCAACCGCTTGTGTTGTATGTTTGACTGTTTCCCTTGTCTGGGACCATCTCCAGAGGATGACTAGCCAGTAACACTGCATGTTTTATATTGTTTGCTTCAAGAACTAACTTTGTTTTTTGACTGTACCAATGCTATAAGGGTGTATAACAATTCCTCCACAGCCTGCTTACTACCTAAAGTAGCTATGTATAGTGAAAGGGGGTAGCAGGAGAGGGGTCACCTGGGTCCGGCTCAGGACAGCCTTCTAATTGCTGGGGGGGGGGGGGGTGATCTAACAACCCTTATTGTTTTATAGCACCACTAGGGGGGGGAGTCTCCTAGGGGGTGTGTGAGTATAGCGTGGCAGCCATTACATGCTGCTCGTGTTCTGTTCTCAGGATAGACCTCACCATTGTAACGGCCTGGCGCCGGCAACTACCGATCCCCGCACATGTATGTATGGACAGTGTAGAGCCGTGGAGACCTGGCTTGTATGGTCTTATTGTATGGTCTTTCTTTGCAAGCTCCTTTGACTGTATGGTCTTATGTTGCTGACAAGGAATAAAGGTCTGTTGTTTAATTTAACTGACTGACTTCAAGTTATCCGGCTAACCTCCACACCACATGCCCGTGGGACCTGCTAGCTGCTCCTTCCTCGCCAGACTGCTGTTACAGGCTCAGATATTTGAAGTTCACACAGCTACATTCTCACCTGAAAATATTTTAAAAGGTTTTTTGCGACCCAGAAAGAGAAATAAGAGTAATATTAAAACTAAGTAGCTGCCGCCATTGTTGGAGACTGGAATTGGCTGGACCGCGCTATAAATTCTGTGATATGGTTTTTCAATTTTGTTGTCCGGGTGGAAAATCGGGAGAAATTCGGGAGAATGGTGGCTCCGGGAGATTTTCGGGAGGGGCACGGAAATTCAGTATTCTCCCGGAAAAATCGGGAGGGTTGGCATGTATGGTTGTGGCAACATCACTAACCTTGTCAAACACCTCAGAGTAAATCATATCACAGAATATGAGGAGTGTATGTTGAGGCGAACTGAAGAGGAGGAGAGGGACAGGTGCTGCTAGGGCGAGACAGACGTCTCTCATGGACTCCTTTAGTGCTGCAGGCAGGCAAGGTGTTCAAATAGCACAACTTCAGATTTTTTATTTCTATATGATGAACTCTACATTATTAAGTGATAAGAACAAGTAATCTGATGTCCTGTGATCATTATGACGCTATAATTTGAGATACAATAAATAAAATAAGCTTTTGTACAGAGTATCGGTATCGGATCAGTATCGTCGATACCACCCTGAATATTACTTGGTATCGGATCGGAAAGAAAATCAGTGGTATCACACATCACTAGCCATAACTGTTCCAATGCATGAGTACTGTCACAGAGAATAAAGGTAGGAACACAAGATCAAAACTGCATTGTAGTTAGGAAAGTGTAAATGAATGTTAGAATGTGAAATGCGTGCTAGCACAAGCACTGCTTTCAGGTTTCCGAAAAACAAATGCAGATATGGTGACTATATGAGGATGTTTTGTTTTAAATATGTAGTATAGTATTAAATATGTTAAGCACCTAAATACTTAAAGCAGCAGTTCTGTTTTTCATAAAGGAAGTAACGTATAATAAAGAAGAACGTTGAGTATTAAAGCCTGTGTAGACTTTACGTACTGTTGAAAACCCTGTTTTGGATCAGTGAAATTATTGCATAGATCTGTTATTGAGCCCACTGCAGAGAGAACCAAAACATTCTCATCCCAAAACGTAAGATACCGATGCTATGTGACAAATCATCAGTATGCTGTCCTTTCGGAAACATGAGAACCGTTTGGAATGAATCTAGACATGGCCTGTAAAATGGCCTGTATTTGTCTAGTGCTTTTCTAGTCCCTAAGGACCCCAAAGCACTTTACACAACCAGTCATCCACCCATTCACACACTGGTGATGGCAGCTACATTGTAGCCACAGCCACCCTGGGGCGCACTGACAGAGGCGACATGTACATTTATTTTACTTTCTCATCATGAATTGCTTTGGAAAACACTATCTAATACGACTAAGGTTAGGGTTAGGTCTGGAATACACGGCTGAAATGTCTGTTACCGCCAGGAGCGTCATTCTCTTGAATTCCATCCACAATCAGACGCGCATCATAGTGACGTGGATGGTTACTTCTCGCGTTACTATGAAACACCTCGGGACGTGACAAATCATTGGTATGCTACGCGTTGGGAATGAGAACGGGCTTAATGAACTGCAGATCAGTCTGGTTCAAACTACAGAGTGGGCCATTATTATGGCTAAACTGTAATAAAATGGGAATGGTTGGTGATACTAAAGTCCTGTTTGTGGCACATTAGTATATGTGAGGGGGCAAACTCCTCAAGATGGGTGGTGACCATGGTGGCCATTTAGAAGTCGGCCATCTTGGATACAACTTTTGTTTTTTCAATAGGAAGAGGGC